CAAACAAAGCTCCACACCACCCACAAAACATGCACTTCCGAGGATAACCTGTGCATCTACAACGTTGCTGCAATTCACACTCCTTCATCCATACTGCGCACATCCTGACTGCAGGGAAAGAGAGAAGACCCACAATCATGACAGACACCTTAAGCTTCGGACATTTGCAAACGATTGTACATCACAAAGGTAGTAGAAAGGTCACGTGTCTGTGAATACCATAGAGTAGCCATAGCAGGCAGCCGCTAAGACCACCTTCCCCTTCCCAGCAAATGAGACTCGCCTCGGCAACGCTACACACCAACCTTCTCGCCTTGATAACGGCAACCGAGACGCACCACCCTCCGACATCCTCACAACCACTGCATCCGCCGACGATGCTGATGCTGGTGATGTCTCCACAGCACCACAATTCCCATGCTCGTTCCAGCCCCACATCCAAACCTCCGTCTCACCGATCACAGCCAAACAGTGCTCAGCTCCCGCTGATATCAATCGAACGCTGGAGGCGGGCAGCGATACTACATCTGGCGTGGCATCAAAAACACTACCACTTTGTGGCCACGCCATGCTTGTCATTGCCGCTCCACCGATCGTGCGTCCGAGCTGACCAAAGTCACAACGACCCCAAGAGAAGACCTTGCCACTTTCTAGTCAACAGAAATACACCACAACGTCTGATCTTAATCACACATCCACTTCCACATACACCTTATTCTAATCGCCCTCCTCCTATTGAGCATATGCCACTGACACATGGTAGTGAAGGCTAATGCACGCAAGTACTTTGGCATGCGTTTCCAATTGCACAACTACAAGGACGCATCAGTCAGTGACCATACTACAACCAGTTGCGATTAACACAAATAGACACGCAATCAAGGACTCCTCACCTGTGAGTGCAAGAATATGACTCCAGCCTGACTGCACATCAACAACTCGCTCGTTGAGAAAGCAAGCGCTAGAAATCCACAGCACGCGACCACTCCTTCGAGGAAGTCCGTCCGCCTCATCCATCGACGGGCCTCCCTGCCCAAAGCGTACATCTCCCCACACACCGACACACCCATCGTCTACACAACGCCAATGCCACCTCCTTCCACTCACTCACCTGTCCACAATACGGTATGGTGTGCTCCAGTCGAACAGCCCAATATTGCACCCTTTTTGTCCACAACAACCTCTCGCACCTTACCACCCTTCCACTCAAACACCTCACCTGTGCCTAGACAAGCAGCAATCGCATAAACCGCGGACCTAGTGCCTACATGAAACCACAACTACGTGACGCAGTCCGGCTCCGATATGCCTTGTCTCAGCAACATCCAACACCACTGGCGATAGCTCACCAATCCACATGGGTGTCGACTTGTTGAAGACGAAACCAGGGCTGTTGTGGCCCCTGAAATAGACCTTTCCAGTTTTCGAGAGAACCACGAGGAAATCCCAACCACACGATACAGCCTTGATACCTTCCTCCACCTTGCCTAACATTCGCAATCTAGTCTGCCGCTCCGATTCCTCTTTCGGACCCAGCTGACCGGCTCCCCATATTGTGGACCCTAAACAAACATGCTGTGTGGTAACGAACACTCACTCACCTTCAACCAACACGCTAAACACTCCACCTCCAGTAATGATATCCGGTTTCAAGGAGGTCGCAACAGGCGTTGGCTCATCCTTATCTTCCGTACAGCCGATGCCAAGCTGACCGTGACTGTTTGCGCCCTTGAAATTGGGAAAACAAAACACGTCCTACAAACAGGCTCTCACAACCCGCGCTAGGGCACCATCCAAGCAGGACCGAGAGAGAAGCACACACATTGAC